GCTGCTGCTAGTGGGCAGGGTGCTCAGGCATGGGGCCGAGTCTAGCTGATGTGGGCACGGGGCAGGGCACGCAGGCCTGCCTAGGGCTGAGACTCAGCCGGCACCAGAATGCCCCTGCCTGCCCCAAGAGCCTACTGCTGGTCAGCACAGCCGTCCGCCACGAGTGGAGGGCCAGCCCATTTTTTGTTGCTACAACAAATTACCATGGGCCGGGTCCTTTGAAATCTGTTTATTTAGCCCACAGTTTTAGAAGGTGAAAGTCCAAAGGCAGCAGCCCATCAGATTGGCCCTGGGAGGACTCCTGGCAGATGGCCCGTGGTGCAAGTATTTCTAGAGGGAAAGACAGAGCGGGGAAGGACCTGTCCTGCTCTCTTATGAGAAAAGAAAAGGGGCGGAAAGGAAGAGGGAGAGCGAGAAGGGGCCAAAGAAATACCTGAAAAGGTGACGTGTATTTCCCAAAATGAGTGAAAGAGAACTGTGAACCACAATACTGCAGAGAACCCCACAGAACAGGTGCCAAGATCTTCACACTCAGCCCAGAGCCCACAGAGACACCCCACAGCCTCGCTGCGGGGGACCCGGGAGAAGCTCATCCAGGCTCCAGGAAAGGGAGCCACTTAGAGACCAGGGGGTGAAGGTGGAGCACACAGACTCCTCAGGAGATGGTGCGAGGCGGCGGCGATGGAGTGACCCTCATGGAAAAGACCCGAGAGCCCCGCCACGAGTCTGTGCCCAGAGCGAGGGTCTCTCAGAACGGGTGCGAATGAAGACCCTCCAGACAACAAAGTGGGGAGGTAACGTGCGGCTCGCCTGCAGTCTAGGAGCCACAGGACGGAACGTGGGGGATGGCTAGAAAGCAAGAAGGACTAGTGTGTCGCCCGGATGTGGGACTCGTGGGGTTCTGGAAGAGAACTGGCACCTTGTGTTGTAGATGCAAATGATGCCACCTGGGGCAGTGCCCAGCAGACACGGCGACGTGGGCAAGACTCACCCTCTGAAGACCTGGAGACTCCCTGTGAGAGGTGAGGGACCCCGGGAGGCAGCCCGAGGCCGCCCATTAAAATTTGCCCAGGGTCTGGGCAACAAAGGAGAAAGTGCTGTTCAGGTCAGAAACTGTCAGGAACTCCCCCACCCCCACCCCTTTTTATTCAAGCTTGTGACCTTTTGCAGATAAGAGACAGCGAATGATAACTACTTGTGCAAAACTAAAAGCTGCTTGCTGTTTTAAAAAATGTTTTTGGAGCAGAGATCAGAAAGGTTAGGAGAAGAATTTTAAAATTTAGAAATGCCACCTTGAGTTGAGTTACATCCCGAGTGACTAGCATGTTACCGTCGATTTAGGCTCTGGCTGCGTGTGGCAGCGTCCCACAGCTGAAATCTGCTTTAAAAAGCACATGGTTTTGTTATTTGAGATGGGTCAGGACAGGCCTTGAAATAAGAATAATTTGGCAGAAAAAAAAGGATAACTCTTCAAACAAGTTAGTAATGATGAGGAAACAAAGTAGGAATGAATACAGGAACTGCAATCCGTTATCCTCTATGGTTCAGCTCTGAAAACACACCATAAAAAGTGGTGAATGAGCTGGGCGCTGTGGTGCACGCCTGTAATCCCAGAGCTCGGGAGGCCAAGACAGGAGGATCGCAAGTCCAAAGCCAGCCTCAGCAAATTAGCAAGGTCCTAAGCAACTCAGTGAGACGCTGTCTCTAAATGAAATACAAAATAAGGCTGGTGGTGTGGCTCAGTGGTCGAGTGCCCCTGAGTTCTATCCCTGGCACCCCCCACCCCCCAAAAAAGTGGTAAATGCTGAGTGTGGGTTTAATGGGAAGCCATAGTTATGCCTGTGTTGGGAAGTGGAGATCTGGGTGCCTTCCAACAAGATGTCAGGAGCAATATTGATGGGCCAATGGCAGAATCTGACATTTGAGGATTGCACCTGACCTCCAACCGCACGACGGACAGTTTTCTAATTGTCACTGGTGTATGAAGTCATGAACCCTCCAGCGAGGCTCCCATGCCAGTGCTCCTAACGTGCGTTCACAGTAGGAAACCGAGGCACAGAGTTATGGAAACCACCGGAGCACATGCATCTGGGTTTGGAGAGTGGGGTGGCCAGCGGGGCTGTCCACTTGAAGTCTGGGTGTTAGCCACAGCCACATGGTGCCCACTCACGGTCTACACCATGTAGCAAAGGGCCGAGGGTGGACAGTGAGCTCCAGATGCATGAGGAGGCGCCCTGGTCCAGGGGCTGACGCTGTTTCTGTACAGGCCAGAGATTCTGTGGCCATGCGTGGTCACCACCTCTCTACTCACATTGCCGGCCAGCAGAGAGCAGCCACAGGCCATGCTGTGTGAGTGGGTGCTGTTGTGTCCAACAGACCTGTATCTACAAAAGCAGGCTGGGGGCCGTGGCGCTAGGGGAAGAGCAGGATTGCTTCTGTGGAGCAGAATCCAGGATGGGCAGGGGATGGGGCACAGGACTGTCATGTGACTTTGTTATAAAAAGGTTTATTTGTGACCTTCAATAGCCAATAATTAAATGAACGAATCGAAGATAACCATCCAAAGGACAGAAATATAAAAGTTCCAAGTGAGTTGAGGGAACATGGAGTGAATCGTGATAGAGCAATCCAGAAGAAGGTGGGAGAAGAGCAAAGGCAGGCAGGAGAACACCCCAGAGAGGGGGCGCTGTGGTGCTGACTGGGAACCGCAGACGGGGCGCTGTGGTGCTGAGTGCGAACGCAGACAGGGGGCGCTGTGGTGCTGAGTGCGAACGCAGACACCGAGAAGACAAAGACCAAACCCACCACCCACCGCTGCGCCAGGGGCACCTGGGAGGCAAAGCCCATGAAGTTTCAAGGGAAAAGAATGGAAAGGATAGACCAAGTGATTCCACTGAGCAATTCCACTGAGCACTGCGTGTTCACAAGGCAGGAGGACGGAGACTCAGGGTATTTGTGGAAGATAGAGGATTCTCTGTGTATATCTAGAAGTGAAACCTGCCTCATACTTATAAAGCCAAGCTTTCGTTTTATCTAAGTATGTGCCCATGTGATAGTGCAGCCCTAAACATCTAAGATGGATAAACGGATACAAGAAACTGACACCACTGTTTGCGTACACACGCGTGCGCGCGCACACACACGCACACCCCTCGCCCTCGATAACTGAAGATCAAGAGAATGACTAAGGCCTGCAGGAGTTGCGGACCTCGCGGCCACGGAGGAGCACTTCCGGCAGCATCAGGGCTGCGTGTCCCACCAGGTCACCTGCACTGTGGGGACGGAGCCAGAGTCAGCCCTCCGGCCAGCCCCAGCAAGCACCAGAGAACCTCACCAAGAACAGCTCGAACCGGGGCTTCTGGCAACAGCACAAGTAAGCCAGAAACCGGCAATAATTTAAATCTAGAAATTAAAGAAATAAATCTAAATCACTCACACATCAAGAGAGAACATGGAAATGAGAAAGCACACTTGGAAACGAACAATGAACAGGCTGCATGTAGAAGCTCCTGCCCCCTCATCGGGGACTGAGGCCAAGGTTAGCCTGGGTCATTCCTGGGGGGTCACAGCCGAGGAGCCCCAGGCTGCAGGCCCCGGAGGGCCAGGGAGAGCCCAATTGTCCAAGAGCTCAGTGTGCAGGAGGGGAGGGAGAGGTAGGCAAGAAATGGGGCAGAGGTGTGAAGGCAGGAGGAGGCAGAGACCTCACCCAGGACCCACACACTGCAAGGGGGAGTGAGGGCCTCTTCTCTTGCAGGGTGGGCTCCCGCAGAGGCAGGAGCGGGGCCCCTTGCACGCTGAAGCTGTGTTCCCTGTTCCCTGTAAGCCTCAAAGCCAGGTGTTTTGAGAGCCCTGAACAAAGGTGAGCTTCCTGGACCCTCCAGGTGAGCTTCCTGCCCCTGGAGCTGGCAGGGCCCCTCTGACCCTGCAGGAGGCCCTGGGGGGCCAGAGACCACAGTGACTGCTGGGCAGCTGCCCCACTCCTCAAGGCTCCTGCAGGCAGCCTGGCCTGTGGATGCCCACCCTGTCCTCGGGCAGCACCCACTTCTGTTCTGCAGGAACAGCTGCCAACAATGGATGGGTGGCTCCTGAGGGACATTGAGTGACATGGCCACAATGCTCTGTTCCTAGAACCAGGCCAGGCAAGCCCTTCACCTGCATGTCCGTGTCCTGTGCCCGCCCACAGCAGGACAGCAGTCAGCGCTGGTGTGTGAGCTCCACCGGCCATGTGCGCAGGAACCCGAGGCTCAGGGAGGATGGGGGCTGGCCAGGGGCCGGGTGGCAGCTCACGTTGACCAGGGCTGCCCGGTGCCTGGGCGTTCACCCCACTCCACCTGAAGAGGAGCATTCTGGTTCCTCCACGTGGGTCTTTGTGGGGGAGAGCAAAGGAGAAGGGGCACCAGGGCAGCCCAGGGTCCCTGAGGGCAGTCCTGGCCACACCTCCATCTCCGTGGGTACCCAGAATGGCCCCTCCCACCGTCTTGCAATTAGCAGACTCTGTCTCAGAAGCCACTGGGCCCCAGGGACTACAGCTGGGGCCTCTGGCAGGGCAGGGGTGGATGCTGGCACCTTCACCTGGACTGCATGGCACTGAGGAAGGCGGCCAGGTGAGCAGAGCCTCGCAGGGGTGGGACCCAGCTCAGGAGCCCGGGCTCCTCCTGCTGGGCTGGCCGGGAACTGCAGCTGTGCTCTGCGGGCTGCTCGGCCAAGGCCTGGGAGGGGGTCTGCGGGATGGGGCAGGGGCCTGCCTTTGGCATCCAGAAGTCCTGCAGAGGCAGAGGGGGCGGAGGCAAAGACCGCAGAGCCCGGAGGAGCAGCTGTGACGCAGAGCTTTCTGAAAGGGGCTACTGGCTCCCCACAGGGCAGCGTCCCCCTGGGACCCTCTCTGTTGCCGGCGGTAGGACTCTGAGGGCCTCTGGGACCTGGGCCGCCCCTCAGGCCCCACTGGGGGCAAGCAGGCCTGTGGGGCGGGGTGGGTGGTGGGGTGCAGCGTCCTCACTCACCTCTGCTGTAGAGGATGCCCAGGACCACCAGGGCTGCTGTCACCAGCAGCAGCAGCGCCCACTCTAGGAAGCCTCTGCGCTTCTGCGCGGGTGGGCTGGCTCTCTCCATCCCCACTGGGCTTTCCGACTTCCCCATCAGCAAAGTTCTGGACGGGAGAGCGCACAGCTGAGCACCCCCCGCCAAGGGCAGGGAGAGGTGGCCAAGGGCAGCTCCAAAGCCCTGTCCTCTGCTGGCTGGGGGAGGGTCAGTTCCTGTTTCTGGGTCTCTGGGCTCTTGCACTAGCCAAAGACTGCAGCCTCGGAGTGCCCAGGGTAGGGGGCACCTGTGGTAGGGAAGGTCCCACCAGCTGGCCATGGTGGCAGCTTCCTCTCAAGGTCAGCTTCTCTCTGGGCCCCTCTGGCGGGCAGGGGCTGGACCCTTGCTGTTCACAGCTTGGGATCTGCACTCCAGACTGGGGGCTCAGCTCCTGCATTCTTGAGGGGCCTCTGCCACAGAGCCTGCGGGGCTGTTTGTGCCCGGGGCACCCTGGTACTCCGATCCTGGGTGCTGGGTCAGGGAGGTGGCTCTCACCACTGGGCTTTCCGTCCATGTTTCCTGTTGGAGCCCAGGAGCATGAGAAGAGGACATAAATGATCAGCACCAGTGGTGACCACACAGGCCAGGGAAGGACCAGCAGGGCCAGACATCCTTGAAGCCCAGCCCCAGCAGCCCCCTGGCTGGGTGCCACTCTGGTCGTGTCCCCCATCTCGTCAGTACAGAGGGCACACCTTCTTGAGCCAGGCAGATAGCGGGCAGCAGTGAGGACAGACAGAACTGGGGACAGGTTGCTGCTGTGGGCAGGACAGAGGGCTGGCAAGCAGGGACAGTACTCTGAGGGCTTCCAGGTCTGTCTGTGCTCCTGTGGGCATGTGTGTGTGTGCAGGTGTGAGTGGTGTGAGTGCACGTGTGTGTTTGCATGGCTGTGCCTGGGTGTGAGTGGGGAGTGGGGGTGAGCGCATCCCTGGCTGCCCCTGCTGGGGCCCCTGGGAGCAGTGGCTGCCTTCCTGTGCTTCAGGCCACAGCCGTTAAGCAGGACCACACCCCACGTGCGGTGCCCCAGCCTGACCCCACAGGAAGGCGGGAGCCTTCGGGACAGATGAGGAAGATGTGCCCAGTCGTGGGAGCCAGTGAGACTGACCAGGGCTTGGGTTCAGCATTCTCACTCAGGACACTCATGGGCTGTGCCCGAGTCCCTGTCCTGACTCACTGGGGGGCTCACATGTGTCCTACCTGAGCATCACCTGCTGAATGGCCCAACGGGGGGTGGCTTAGAAATGCAGGTCAGTCCCCAGGAGGGCTGCACGGCCAGCTTATCTGGCACCCCTCAGTCTCCTGGCTCTGGGTTCCACCTGAGCCCCCCCCGGCCCCCGATCCACAGGGGTCCCAAATCCAGTGCTGCCTGGCGCCTCCCCTGGGCTGAACTGGAACCTTGGTGCTGATGTGCCCCATGCCCTCTGGAGTTCCTCTGAGGTCTCTGCTGCCTCCAAACCAGCCTGTCCTCTGCTGCGGAAGCCACACAGTGCCCTGCCCAGCCCCATCCTGGCCTCCGTCCTGCAGTCTGACCTGCTCTCACTCCCACCACACATGGCCTGCTCCAGGCCCTCCACTGCACATGGGGGGGCACGGGGCCTCTGGCAAGGCTGTCTGTCTGTGCCAGAGGGGCCGCTGCCCAGGTGGGGCCCTACAGGAAGTGCCCGCCTGTCCTGCATGAACTGGGCTGGCACAGGGAGGGGCCTTCAAGGTGCTGCCCAGGAAGCCAGCCACAGGGGCACACGCACAGCACCTCACCTTTCTACTCGGAGTGGCACAGGGACACCCAGGGCTGGGGTGAGTCAGGCCAAGCAGGTGGGCTCAGGTGGAGGAAGGCAGGTCAGGTGGGGCCACGCTGGGAGGTCACACTGAGCAACTTCCTGGGGTCCTTTGTGATGCAGGGTGGCCCCGGAAGCAGTTCCGAGGTGGGGAGTTCCAGGGGGGCTGGGGGGGGGGGGGGGGCCGATGCAGCCCGGGCTGCTGGGTCCCTTGCTGAGGGGCATGGCTGCCCAGGGCCTCTGGCTCCTCTGGCCCTAGCCTCCCAAGTCCCTCTCTTTCCTCGTTCCCATCTCTTGACCCTTCAGTCCACTGAGTTGTTGGGCAGGAAGGCCAGGCCCTCTGCCCTCTCCTCCTGCCTGTGCCAAAGATGCTGGCCAGGGTTTCTGTCCCCAGCGGCTGGTGAGGGCTTTGCAGCCACCTCCCCGGTGTCCTTTCCCTTCAGTCTCTAACAGGGTGGTGGGTTCCGACTGCCCACTGGGGACTGTCAGGTTCAGATCCAACCCAGGGTCAAGGAGGCCTTCCCTGGGCCAGAGGGCTTCAAAGCAGGCCTGTGGCGGTCTTTCACGGCTTCAAAGCATGGACCAGGGACCCAGCTCTGCTTGTTGATGGGGCGGGGGGGGGGGGGTCTCTGAGCACAGAGGCCCCAGTGGGGACCCAGGCTTTCCCTTCTCCAGGCCCCCACTGGTGACCAGCTTCCATTTCAGAATCCCATGAGCCCTTGGCCTCTGTAAGGGCCAGGTCACATAGCCAGGGTCCTGAGCAGACAGTCCCTCAAGGCTACGCTTTACCAGAATGCCCACGCTGGGTGCAGTTGGAGCTTCCGGTTCACATTCAGATGGCCCTTGAGAGCCATGCACTGGGAGGAGGGCCACCTCCAGCTGCAGACTGGGCTGGGTTCAGACCCCACCCCCACCTCCCTGACGCTCGGGAGGGGCTCCAACTCAGCTCCCTGGCTGTCTCTGAAGCCCCCTGCCCCAGGCAGAAACCAGCCCAGAGTCAGGAGCTGCAGTCAGCCTTGCGGCCACCTGGTCTGCTGGCCTAGATGGGAACAGGTCACGGTCAGCCTAGTGGGGGACTGGGAAGGGCCAGGATCTATCCAGGCTGGCTGGACCCCCTCCCAGATGCAACCACCTTGGGGTACCAGCGTCCTGTGGAGACGGTTTCCACACCCTGACAATAGCAGGCCCTTTTGGAAGGTCATGGAGCCTCTCGTCCCCAAGCTGAAGAACCTCAGAGGATGAGAAAGGCTGCGTCCCCCCTCTCAGCACGGCCTCCCGGGCCCCCAGGGCGGGCTCTGCACACTCCCTTCCTCACGCCCAGGCTGGTCACCACAGTCTACTCAGAGCAGCCCTTGCCCCTTGCCGGAGGCCACCTGGAGACCTGGGGCTCAAAGGCCCGATCATCTCTGGGGGTGCCCTGGTTCCTGGTTCTCCCCAGTCTGGAGGTGCTCACGATGCCCCGTCCTATCTGGGCACCTGGTAGCCAGGAGAAGCTGGCTACCACAAGCCAAGGGGCTGCAGATCAGCCCCAGTGGGGAGCCTCCATTTGAACCCGGATGCCAGGAGGTCCTGCCAGAGCACGCCACCCCCAGCCGCACAGCCCTGCAGGATGGGGCCCAACCCTTTCTCTTAGAGGAGGTCAGGGCAAAGCAGGGACCCTCTGCAGAGGTGCCGCCCCTCCCCACTTTAGTCCTGGGACCAGCCCATGTCTAGAGAATAGGCCTTTCCACCGCTGTGGGGGCCACCTTGGCCCCGCCCTCCCCGTCTCCGGGTTCTTAGACGGGCAGGTCCTGTACCCTGGCACAGCCCAGCTTCCACAGGCGTGTCCTTTGGGTCTCGGCACTCAGGGTGCTGGGACAGGATCCTTGGTGGTCTTGCACTGCCTGGGGTCCCCCTCATGGAACCACTGGCCCAGCCTCCATAGCCAGGGTCTCAGGCCATGTCCTGTGAGAAGGGGCTTGTGAGTGTGTCATAGGTGCAGGAGAGAACGTGTGTCCGGCGCCAGACACAAGGTGTGGTCCAGCCTACCTGAGAGGGGCCCGGCCACCTGAGCAGGAGTGGGGGCCATGGCTGCCGTGTTTGAGTGGCAGGCTCCGTCTCTCAATTTGGCCGTCACTCCTTCCTTGATCCCCAGTGTTTATTTCCCCCAGTCACGAGGCCAAGGACCACAGCCACCCAACAGCCCTTCACAGTGAGTCGCTGCTACTGGAGCCACCAACGCTTTCCACCTCCCCGTGGCTCTGCTGATCCAAACACGGTGCCAGAGTGGCCCTGAGGCACCTCCAGGAAGGTGACTTTGACCTGCTGACCTGGGGCCCTCCAGGATGGGGTGGCGTTGGCCTGCTGACCTGGGGCCCTCCAGGATGGGGTGACTTTGACCTGCTGACCTGGGGCCTTCCAGGATGGGGTGGCGTTGACCTGTTGACCCGGGGCCCTCCAGGATGAGGTGACTTTGACCTGCTGACCCGGGGCCCTCCAGGATGGGGTGACTTTGACCTGCTGTCCCAGGGCCCTCCAGGATGGGGTGACTTTGACCTGCTGACCTGGGGCCTTCCAGGATGGGGTGGCGTTGGCCTGCTGACCTGGGGCCTTCCAGGATGGGGTGGCATTGACCTGCTGACCCGGGGCCCTCCAGGATGGGGTGGCGTTGACCTGTTGACCTGGGGCCCTCCAGGATGGGGTGACTTTGACCTGCTGACCTGGGGCCTTCCAGGATGGGGTGGCGTTGACCTGTTGACCCGGGGCCCTCCAGGATGAGGTGACTTTGACCTGCTGACCCGGGGCCCTCCAGGATGGGGTGACTTTGACCTGCTGACCCGGGGCCCTCCAGGATGGGGTGACTTTGACCTGCTGACCTGGGGCTCTCCAGAATGGGGTGGTGTTGACCTGCTGACCTGGGACCCTCCAGGATGGTGGCATTGGCCTGCTGACCCAGGGCCCTCCAGGATGGGGTGACTTTGACCTGCTGACCCGGGGCCCTCCAGGATGGGTGGCATTGACGTGCTGACCCAGGGCCTTCCAGGATGGGGTGGCGTTGGCCTGCTGACCTGGGGCCCTCCAGGATGGGGTGACATTGGCCTGCTGACCCGGGGCCCTCCAGGATGGGGTGATTTTGACCTGCTGACCCAGGGATCTCCAGGATGGGTGGTGTTGGTCTGCTGACCTGGGGCCCTCCAGGATGGGTGGTGTTGGCCTGCTGACCCGGGGATCTCCAGGATGGGGTGGTGTTGGCCTGCTGTCCCAGGGCCCTCCAGGATGGGGTGGTGTTGGCCTGCTGACCCGGGGATCTCCAGGATGGGGTGGTGTTGACCTGCTGTCCCAGAGCCCTCCAGGATGGTGGCGTCATCCTGCTGTCCAAGGCCCTCCAGGATGGGGTGGTGTTGACCTGCTGTCCCAGGGCCCTCCAGGATGGGTGGTGTCATCCTGCTGTCCCAGGGCCCTCAGGTCTGGTGGCATTAGCCTGCCGCCCCGGGGCCTGACTGCAGGGTGAGCTCCTTGCAGTGGGAATTGGGAGCCAGGAGGGCGGTGCTGGGGCTTCTCACAGCTGGAGCTGTCACCGTGTTGGTCGTGAAGCACCAGCCGGGTCAGGGCCTGGGAGCCCAGCACCGCTGCACTGGGTGATGGCAGCGATGGTGACTGCACTGGCTGGTGGCAGCGATGGTGACTGCACTGGCTAATGGCAGCGATGGTGACTGCACTGGCTGAGGGGTCCCCTGGGCTCTGCCTAGTCCTTCACCACCACCCGGCAGCTCAGGACCCACACGAGGGTCAGGCCACGGCACCCCCCTGGGTGTGTGCAAAGAACCATGGTGGGCCCAGGAGGAAAAGGCTCAGTACCCAGGGACTCGCCAGACTCCAGGGCTCACACTGAGACCTGGGGACGAAGGGCAGCGGGCCACCTGGACGCACCGGCTTTGCTGAGTGGGTGTCCTCACAGGGATTCCAAGTCGTCTGCACCAGCTGTGGCCACTGGTGGGGGTGAAACCTGGACTCCCTGGGGGTCTAGAGTCAGTGATGTGCGAGGGCAGAAGTCCCGAGTAGAGGAAGAGCTGACCTGGGCGGCCCTGGGAGGGCACATTCAGGCCTGTCTCAGCCTCCAGCTGAGCAGTGAGGGGCCGGGGACCTGGGAGACAGGTCAGGGGTCGCCGGGGAGGAGGGTGGACTTGACATGCTGGAGAAGCCCCCAGGCAGCAGGCCCAGACCTGGGGGACACAGGCTGGCTTCCTGGTCCTCAGCCCAAGTCTCAGATTGGCTGTGGGCTGCTCAGGCCTGGAGCAGCCCCCTCCCCGCGTAAAGCCTGGGCTGGGGCCCCACAGGGACCAAGACTCCGCCTAGTCCTCAGGGGCCAGCAGCCTGCTCTCAGGGTGGAGGTGGGTAGAGGAGCGGGGGTGTCTCAGCATGTTCAGGCCAGCATGAGAAACAGCCTACCGCTGAGCGACTGGTGAAACGTGTTTCTCACAGCTCTGGAGGTGGGAGTCCAAGGTCAAGGTGCCAGCAGATTCAGGGGAGGACCTGGCTCACAGAGTTGCCTTCCCACTGGCCTCATGTGGGAAGGGGTGGGGGGCTTCAGGCCGTGTTTGTTTGAATGAGGGCATCAGTCCATTCCCCAGGGCCCTGTTCCCAGCACCTCACCACCTCCCCCAGGACCCACCTCCTGGCGCCATCCCAGTGGGGCTTAGGGTCTCAGCTTATGAACTCTGGGGACACTCAGGCCATACCAAGGTGCCAGGCAAGCAAGACGGACTGAGACCCCTGTGAGGTGAACTGGGGCCTGTAGGGGCTACCCCTGCGGGGCTGGGGGACAGCAGGAGTGGGCTGCAGGGGTCCCCCTGGATTTAGGTACATGCACACTCCGTGGAGATGTCCTCAACGAACAGATGGGGCAGGAGGCCCCAGGTCGGGAGGGCAGTGGGAGCAGAGGTACCTGCTGCCACCCCTGGGGCTTCCAGAACTCCTGAGCCTGGCCCACCCCAGCTGGGGATGCAAATATTTGTTGAGCCATTGAGTGGACAGATGGACAGACCGACCGATGGCTGGGGATGGCTGGGCAGGGAGCGACACAGTGGGAAACCCTGGAAAATCAGGAAGGAAGTGAAGGTGGAGCAGGGAGACCTGCAGATCCCAAGCGGAGGACCAGACCTGAGGCCGGTGGAGGCCAGAGCCCCAGCTGTTTGCCAAGGGACCCGAGCTCGGTGGGAGGCCGCCACCTCTGTGAAGATGGGAGGCACCTGAGGGCCGGGCAGGTGGCAGGGCACCGGTCCAGGCAGCTGGGGACGCTCCCAGTGAGAAAGGCAGGTGCCCAGGGAGGGGGCCTGGGAGAGGGCAGCGCTGGTCAGAGCAGCCGGCAGCCGGAGGCTGTCTCCCTCTGGGTTCGAGCCTTCAGCCTCCTCAGGCCGCCGTGGTGGGGGGTCACCAAGAGGCCACTCTGGGGGCCCGTCAGGGCCTCCCCGTAGCGCTGCTCCTCCAGGCAGCACTGGCCCAGACGCAGGAACGTGCTGGCCCTGGGGGCCTGGCCCGGCTGCGCCAGGGCCGGTGACAGCTCGAGGGCCTGGGCGAAAGCCCCCGTGGCCCCCTCCTCGTCGCCCAGGCTCAGCAGCAGGCGGCCCCGGGAGCTGAAGTCCTCGGCTCGCCTTGCCAGGTCCCCGTCCCCGGCTCCCTCCCGGATCACGTGGTCCAGGTCCTGGAGTGCCCGGTCAACTTCCCGCAGCTCAGCCAGGCAGGCAGCCCGTAGACGCAGGTGGCAGGTCCTGCCACCACCAGCCAGGACAGCCAACGAGCAGTAGCCCAGCGCCCGCCTGGGGTGCCCTGTGTCCAGGAGGGTGCTGGCTTCCTGGGCTGCTGCCTGCAGAGGACACACAGGGGCGTAGGGAGTACAGGGTCAGCCCTGCCGAGGCTGCTGGCCTTGGGAGGGGGCCAGCGCCTGGGTAAAGGGCCTCCCTGCCACTCCCTGTCCTGGAATCGGCTCGGCCCAGCTCAGGCTGCCAGTGTCTGTAAGTGTCCTCCTCAGCTGCCCCTCTTGCTGGGACACCGGCATCTCCTGTCCTCCCTCGGGGGCCTTACAGCCCCACCTCCTGGCAGGCCTCTGGTGATCTTCAGAACCACCTCTGTGGGCCAGGGGCTGCTGCTTGGCCCCACCACCTGCTGAGCTGCCAGGACCCTTAGGACAGGAGCCGAGCTGCCCTCTGCCCAGCCCAGGCCCTGGGTGCAGCTCCTCCCAAGGTCAGGAGGGGAGGGCCAGCTGTGCACAAACTGGCTCCCCCTTGTTGCAGTCCCTGCACCAAAGTCAAGGTTGGGGACCAAACATGCTGCCAACCTGTCCTCCCTTGGCTCTCCCTGTGGCTCGCTCTAGCATGGTGCAGGCCCCTGGATGTCCATGCACTGGGTTTGCCGTGTGCTGGACTCATCCCTGGCCCTGGGGGCACCTGGGTGGGCCAGAGGCCAGCTAGTGAGCATGTCCACCTTAACCCTCCTTTCTGGACTGCTAGACTGGCGGTCATTGCTGGCTAGGCCTGCCGCCCCCAGGCAGTTTCGTTTCTGAGCTGAGGACCACACTGGGAAGCTGCCCCATGCCTCCCCCTCTCCACTGACCCCGCTTCTTCAGTCAGCTAGGGACAGAAATCACAGGACACTTCACAGTGAACCTGCTGGCCCAGTGGCCTTCCGCGGCTCCCCTGGGCCTGGGGAGTAAGGTGCGCTGCAGGCCAGCCTTTCGGGAAGCTCTGGGAAGCACACTCAGGTGCTGGGATGTGACCTTGGTCTCTGACTCCAAAGCTCAAAGCCTGTGGTCCTGGCCTCCCCACCTGTGGTGCCCTCCTGACCCTGACCGGGCTGGCCTCTGGGATGGGCTTCTGGCCTGGAGGAAGCCCCTTGCTGACTCAGCCCAACTCTGGGAGGGTCCTCCCCTTTCCACCCCGTCACCTGTACTTTTGCACCCCAGGCAGAGAAGCCCAGAGGCTATGGGGTTGTGCGTGGGCAAGGTGGGGGCAAGGTGGTGCCAAGGTGGGCAGAGGCCCGTCTTCAGGGCAAGACCCGGCACCTCCTACTCACAGCTCACCCCATCCAGCTGGAAGCAACCCAGCAGTGGGGAGAGGACAGTGCCCTGTGGTGGCCCAGGGTCTCAGCCGTGCTGTGTGGAGGGGCCAGTGTGGCTGCCGGGGATCTGTGCACACCTGGGCCACGCTGTGCCGCTCCGAGGCCGCCAGGAGCTGCAGTAGGAAACGCAGGTCCTGGGCGTCCGCCTCGGCCAGACACTGCAGGTCCTGGACGGCAGCGGGGACAGCTCCCTTCTTGAGCTGGAGCAGGCCTCTCCGGGCCCGGGCCGCCTCCGGTGGGCGTGTGGAGCACAGGGCTTCCTGCAGGGGAGCACTGGCCTCCTCATAGCTGCCTGTGGATCCAGGAAGGACAGTGGGGGCTGAGGCTGGGGACGAGGAGCGCACAGGCTGTGAGACATGCCTTCCCTGCTCCATGCTGGCAGGGGCAGCTGAGGGACAGACTCGGCCCCGAGGACAGAGCTGGGAGCTGCACACCGGGAGCACATCCAGGCTGCATGGACCCACCTGCAGACCCGCCCTTGCCCCCGCTGCATGACCCCTGGTGGGGCAGCAGGGCTCTGACTGCCCTCCTGGAGGTCACCACAGGGACGGCCTTCTCTCCTGAGGCCCTCGGGCAAGGCTGGGCCAGGGGAGCAGAGCACGTGGGTGTGAGCAGCAGGAGGTGGGGAGAAGCCCCTGAAGCCCTTGGAGGGCAAAGGCGGGCGCCAAGAGCACCCTTCAGGTAGGGGCGAGCATCAGGGTGAGGTGGAGTCGGCACACATGGGCCAGGAAGGGGCCGACCTCCTCTGGACCACAGTGGATCCCTGCTTCATGCAGCATGAGTGTGTGGGGCAGGAGGGTTCCTTGTGAGAGGCCCACAGAGGGCCCAGAGGGTCAGGTGAGAGGGAGCCCCGCCCACAGATGGGCCCAGAGGGTCAGGTGAGAGGGAGCCCCGCCCACAGATGGGCCCAGAGGGCGCTGAGGCCGTGGAGTTGGGGTGAAGGGGCCTCAGGACCAGTGCCGTCCATGGCTCTTCTGTTTCACAGAGAGGAACAGAGCAGGTCAGGGGTGTGGGACAGACGTCTGTGTCCCCCACTCCTGGCCGACACGTACCCAGCACCAGGAGTGTGTCCACGAGGAGGAGGTGCCAGCTGGGCTGAGTGGCATCGATTCTGGTCAGCGCCTGTCCCACTGCCAGGAGGCCCTGGGTGTCCTCGTCCCCAAGGGAGACCCCCATGTCCAGAGTCTGGCTCAGGAGGGCCCGGCAGCGGGAGTGGAGGCCCTGGGTAAGTGGCACCCGAGCTTCCGGCCTCAGAGAGCGGATCTCGGGGACCACGGTCCCTGGGTCGAGTCGCAGGGCAGAGATAACGTCATCGATGGCGTCCTGCAAGGGGAGAGTCGACGGCGTCCTGCAAGCCTGGCTCAGGAGTCATCCCAGCCGGGAGGGACATCCCTGTTCTTGGGCCTTGGGTCCTCTCCCGGGGTCCTACAGGGTCTGCCCGCCAGCTCACTGCCCTTCCCTGCCGTCCATGGCTGCAGCCTCATGCGCCAGCCCAGTTTTGGTTGGGCATCTGAAGGACCCAGCTCACTGGCTTTCATCCCCCACAGTTACCAGCCCTGACCCCCTTTTGAGGCCAGACCCTGCACCTGCCCATCAGTCCTCCAAGTTCAGCCCCCCGACCTGCCCGAGGTGCGTGGCACCCTCTCTGGGTAGCTCCCTCCCAGCGGGTGATTCTGGAGTTGGCGGGTTTCGGGCATATGCTCCTCAGAGCCTGGGCCGTGGCACCCCAGGGGGGGAAGCCCAGTCTGGCAAGTGCCCCGGGGTTCTGGGAAGGGAGGCTTGGTGTGGGGCACAGGAAGGCTCCCTCCGAGGGCGTGGGACAGAGGTGGGCTTGGCTGGTGCCCCAGGGGCAGCAAGACACAGGGAGGAAAGCGGGGGGTTGGGCTTGCTGTTGAGATGTAGGCCTCCCTGCCCAGGGCCGGAGGACAGGAGGCCAGGCAGAGGCCAGGCCTTGTGGGAGGGCCTTGATGAGTAGATGGTAAGCCACCTGCTCCTGTCCTGGCCGGCAGGGGGCCTGGGGCCATCTTCCTCGGTCTTTCCCTAGTTGCCCTGTCCTGGGGCCTCTGTCTCCCCTCCTGATCTGTGGGGTTAACTGAGTATTTTCAGTATCCCATTTTTGTCCCTCTGTTGACCTCGGGGCTGTGCCCTTTGTCCTGTTGTCGGCATTCGCTCCGCGGATCCCACGTCCTCAAGGTGCTCCACAGGCAGCGGGCCACGAAGGCGAGTCCCCTCCCCTGCCACGCTGCTGACTTCCCGCACGGCGTGTCCACGTGTGTAGGAGCTCTTGGTGGTGGCTTCTGACGCTCCTGGGACAGGCTTCAGGGATGGTGTCCCCTTCTGCACCCCGAGGGCTGTTTCTTTTTCTTTTCCTTACGATGCTCTGGAGAGTTGGTCACAAACGCGTCTCAGGCCACAAGGGAATGGAAGGGCTACGTTCAGCCTTTCAGGAATCAGGCAGGGAGCGGAGGAGGTCACCATGAGTCCAGGGCCTTGGTGGGCACGTTCCCGGGGGGGTGGTCCCTGTACCTGGGCGGCGTTCCTGGAGGGGGCATGCCCCTCGGGGTCCCTCGTGCAGGGAGACTCCCCACTGGGGGCCCACGGAAGGCCTCATACCAGGAAGCGGGCCTGTCATGCCCCTCGGCCCGTAGGCGGTGGGGTACCCCACGGCCTGGTTGGAGCCCTGCAATCCTGGCAGTGGCTGCAACAGTGCCTCTTCCCTGCGGGGCTGTCACCCGTCGGGATGGCCCACCCACCCCACGGATGGGTGCGCAAGACCTGCCAGAGCCGGGGTGTGGGGACACAGCGGATTCTCTGCCAGCAGCCCTCCCAGCTCCTGGCCCAGCACTCCAGCAGGTGGCACTCAGCAGTGCCGTATCTGGGAGGAGGTCCCCTGCTGTGGTGGAGACCAGGCTCCGCCCAGAGCCAGCGCCAGACCAAGGCCCTTCCCTGCTGGGGCTTGGAGCTCTTTGGCGCCATCTTCCTGAGCCATCACAGTCAGAGGATCCCATTCATCTGCTTGTCGAGGGTACCAATGAGGACCGGGCCCCGCGGGCGCCTCCTCCTGCAGTGGGCAGCTGCGTGACTCAGGGGTGGTTCCCAGGGCTCTGGCTCCCGCGGGATTCGCCTCCTCAGAGGCTGGACGCCACCAACTGGGGCTGCTTTCCCCGCGGCCGCTCCTGAGCTGCTGCCTCTTCCTTTGCCTTCGGAAAGGACCTCGCGGGCCTCGCGGGCTCTCTGTCTCGAGGTCCCTGTCCCTGCTCCTTGGGAGCGTGTCCGCCCCTCTCTCTCCGCTCCTCTGGGAGTCCAGGGTGGAGCCGGCTTGGTCGTGGCCTCAGGGCCCCTGGAGCACTCCTTCTAGACACGGCCTCCCCGCTGGGCCTCAGGGGCCCTCCTCACAGGCCCTTCTTTGGAGGCCTCCCACTGCCCTTAAGCCAGGCTGGGGCCTTGGGCTCCGGCTCACCCCTTCCCGTGCTCGTGGCCCTGCGCTGGGGGCCTGCCGTGCCTTCCAAGCCTGGAGCCGCCCGGGGCCTGTTTCTGCTGAGCAGCGCTTTGCTGGTGGCGTCACACTTTCCTGGGTCTCTGCGGCCCGTGCTCTTGACCTGTGCTCTGGGGCTGGGCGGTGCTGGTTCTGTTCTGGTGGACATTTCCGTCACCGGGGAGGGGCCATTCTGGTCTGGCCAGGTGTGGCTTTGCTCTTGGGTAGAGCAGGCTGACTCCAGCATCCCCAGCCCTGCCTGGCCCTGGCCACGGCTCAGCTGTGGGCCCAGCGCAGGTGACCTCTGCTTCTGCCGTGCTCTGGGCATGTGCAGTGCAGGCCTCGCGCAGCGTCCCTGCAGACTGAGGAGGACTCCTGGCCCGGCCCCTGCTCAGTCCTTCCTCTTGCTTCTGTCCCCATGACTATGCCTACTGAAGGGACTCCCGGGAGTGCCTCCCTCAGGGCCTCGTCTCTGGCTGGCTTCCTGCACCGAGTGCCCCGTCCTCAAGCCTCATGTGCTGCAGTGAGTGTCAGAATCCCCTTCCTTTTTTGGGGGCTGAATAATATTCCCCCAAGTGGCGGACTGTTCTGCTTCTCCGTTCCTCCATCAGTGGCCACCAGGGCTCTCCGTGAGGCGTGATGCTCCAGCGTCAGCACCAATGGTCTTCTTCCTGGTGGCCCAGCCATGGAGCACTCCTGCCAACAGTTCCACAAGGCTAGTTTCCCCAACCACACCGGTCACTTCAGAATCTTGACTGTTACCCTCCTGACGGGTGCATGGTGGCATCCCTTAGCTTACTGAGCGTTTCCCTGAGGACGGTGACGCTGGACGTCTTTTCCTGGGCTTCTTGGCCCTATGGGCAGTTCCGTTCAAGCCCTTGGCCCCTGTGAGCTGGGCTGCTTGGTGCATCGGTGGCAGGCCTGGCCGGGGGTTGCCTGGTGACCTGCTCGTAGGCTCGGTGCCTTGATGTACGACGGTGCTCAGGATTCCTGAAGTCTCATTGGTCTACTTTTTCTTTTGTTGCCTGGTTTGGTGTCCATCTAAGAAACTGGCCAAATCTAAAGTCGTGAAGCTTTTCCCATGTGTCCGTCTAACAGTTCTGAAGTTTGAGGTCTTATGGTTAATTTTTTTTTTTTTCCATCCTGGGATTGAATCCAGGGGCACTTTATCACTGAGCTGCAGCCTCAGCCCTTTTTATTTACTTAATTTTTTGAGACAGGGTCTTGCTAAATTGCTGAGGCTGGCCTCAAACTTGCCGTCCTCCTGCCTCGGCCTCCTGAATTGCTGGGGTGATAGGCATGACTACATTTGGACTTTTTATCCATTTTGAGTTACTTTTTGCGTATGGTGTGAGATGAGGGTCCAGATGCATTTTATGTGGATGCAGTTTCCCCAGCATCGTGTATTGAGAATAGTTTTCTTCCCCCGCTGGTCTTGGCTTGCCAAAAGTCGCCTGCCCACACGGGTGGAGGGTTATTTCTGGGCTCTCCTTCCATTGGCCCTGCAGACACAGGGGCTCATGCCAGCAGCACACTGCGATGCTCACCGTGACTGAGAGAGCAGGGTCTAAGGCCCCAGCTTTGTTCTTTTTCTAAACTGTTTTGCGTATTTGGAGTCCCCTTGAGGCTCCATATGAGTTCTGGGGGGAGTTTTTCTATTTCCATAAAAAAACATTTTTTTTAAATATACAATTTAGTTGTAGATGGACACGATCTTTTTTTTTTTTTTTTTTAGTCCCAGGGATTGAACTCAGGGGCAGTAAACAACTGAGCCATGTCCCCAGCCCTACTTTGTACTGCATTTATTTAGAGACAGGGTCTTACTGAGTTGCTTAGTGCCTTGCTTTTGCTGAGGCTGGCTTTGGACTCGCAGTCCTCCTGTCTCAGCCTCCTGAGCTGCTGGGATAATAGGCGTGGTCACCACACCTGGCAACACAATATCTTTATGTATCTTTTTTTTTTTTTTGTGGTGCAGAGAATTGAACCCAGTGCCTCACTGAGCTAGGCAAGCGCTCCACCACGGAGCCCCGCCCAAGTCCCTCATGGGGATTTTGGTAGGGACTGCACCGAGTCTGCACTGAGCGCTCCTGCCTACAGGGTGACACAGACTCGGTGACAACGTGAAACACTCTGATCTGTCACTTTCTTTTGGCCATGTGTCCTAGTTGCCACCCTATGCATCCTTGACTTCCTGAGGGGTTGACCTAAATATTTCGTCATCGGATGCTCTTGTCATTGAGACGGTTTCTGAATGTCCTCTCAGGTTGTGCCGTGAGTGTGAATCACTCTGGGGTCCGTGGGTCCACCTGGTGGCCTGCCGTTTTCCTGAATCCTGTGACTGCTGGTAGATTCTGGGGGACTCCTCCCTCTCGGCAGCTGACCTGAGTGTCAGCGCTGGGCGGGGTGGAGGTGGCCTTGCTGCCGCTCCCCTTGAGGAAAGCCCTCCGTCTGGTGAGACGTCCGCTGTGGGCTCACACACGGGCTCTGGTCACGCCGAGGTCCTTCCTTCCACCTTGCTCTGCTGGCAGTTTTCAACACAAGCGGCTGGATTCCGTCCTGTACTGCTCCTGCTCTGTGGGTCACCTCCTGCTTCCTGTGTTCTGCTAATGCGGGGACCCTGGGGGGGACTGCATGTGGGACCTCCTCACATGCCGGTCGTGTGTGACCTCCTGGCACACGGCTGACTTTCTGCTGTTCTACTGAGGACGCTGACACTGGTGTCTGTCAGGGCACTCCTCGGGTTTTCACGTACTGTGGGCCTGGTCTTGGGGTTGGGTGTCGCTGGCCTCTGGGTGACTTAGGAACTTCTCCCTCTTCTTCTTTGTTTTTTTTGAAAAGTTGAGAAGAGTTGGTGTTGAGTCTCTGACTGTTCAGAGACTCCCCGGGGGCCGCACAGGCCCGGGGGCCTTGCACACTCGTCCGGTGACTGGCCCAGCCTCGTCAGTATCCCTGGGTGTCCCTAGGCTTTTCCGTTTCTTCCTGACCCTCTTGCTCTGTCCACCTGCTTGTCGGCTGTCCTGCCGAGCAGCTCCTCCTGGCTCCCTCCTGTGTCCCTCTCTCCTGTAGGACTGGTGCTCATGACCCACCTCAGTGCTGGGCTGAGATCCGAGTTCTCTCTCGTACCAGGGATTGAACCCAAGGGCTCTTACCCCTGAGCCGAATCCCCAGCCCTTTAAAATTTTTTATTTTTATTTGAGACAGGGCCTTGCTAAGCTGCTGAGCCTGGCCCTGAACTTGCCACCCTCCTGAGTCGCTGGGACTACAGTCTCTTCTCTTTTTAAGTCCATCCACCTAATGGTTTGTCCGCTTTGACTTTTCCGAGGAATCGACTTTGGGTTTCATCAATTTTCTCTATTGTTTTTCTAGTCTTAACTTTATCTCTAACCTTCCTCCTTTCTTTCTTTCTGCCTGCTTTGGGTTCAGTGTTCCCTAAATCGTAGGATTGGTGACTTGGGATCTTTGTCTTGTAATGTGCAGGCTGTGGCCGTGAACGTCCCTTGGTCCTGCCTGCGTTGTCCCGTGTGTCTGGTGCACTGTGATTTCATCTCCATCCATCCCCGAGTGCTTCCTGAGCCCCTGGTGATTCCTTAGCTCCCCACTTCTACAGAGGGCAGACTGGGCGCGAGAGGCAGAGCGATCGGCCTGAGGCTGCCTATCCGACCCTGGACCCAACACCCCTGCCCAGAAGCAGACCCCAGAGGGTGCCCTTCCGCACACACAGGGAGTGTGCAAACAAGGAGTGTCCACAAAGCAACAAGCAGAAACTGTCTTCCAGCACACGGCTGCTGGTGTGAGCCAGACCTCTCCTCCTGTCCGCCTGGCTCCCAACATTTTATCCTGAATTGGAGCAGTTACTGCAGAAGGTCTTAAGTATATCATTTCTCTCCTAAAAAGCAGGTAATTTAGGTCAGATCAAAGTTCCAAGGGCTCTGCTGACTGCACCCACGGCAGACAGGACTTACTCCTTCTGCACCCGTCCTGTGAATCCTTTCTAACACGGGGCTCTGTGCATCAGACTGTGCAGTGGAGGGGACCCCTCGTGGCCTACGCTCCTGTAGAGGGACACCTGCAGCCGTTATGGAACTATTTTAAGCTGGGGAGGCTCCACCAACCCTTAGGGCTTGCACACGTGTCCGTGCAGGAGTCGTGGAAGAGTGGGGCTCCCTGGAGGTGGCCCTGTGGGGTGCGGCTCCTGCGGCCTGCAGTGCAGGTGAGGAGGAGGGGGTTCTGATGGCATGTCACGGCTCATGACACCTGGCCCTGCTGGCACTCCTTGGGTGCAGGAAGAAGGCACTGCCCTGGCCTCCCTGCCCGGCCCCAGAGGGGAGAGTGGCCCGGCACCTGCAGCTGGTCCAGGGCCAGGTACACGAGGGCCCGTCCACACAGAGCCTGCACATTCCCCGGCCTGGCCCGCAGCACGGAGTTGAAGTCAAACACAGCGGTCTTCTTCTGGCCGAGGAGCCCATAGCAGCGGGCTCGGACGAGTAGGGACTCACTGGCCTCCGTCCCTGTAGGAAGTGGGCATGGTTAGGACATGGCTGTGACTGGCCACTTGTCCAGTGTCCCTCCTGGTGCCCAGACTGGGGGGTCCACTGTGGGGAGCTCACACTCCACTGGGCAGCAGGGGGAGGGAGCCCTCTAGGAGGGCGGCATCTGGGAGGACTGGTGGACACTGAGGGACCTTGAAGAGGCAGGGGCACTGCCCTGTCTCTGAAGTGAGGCCAGGCGAGGGGGACGGGGATTCCCGGGGTGGCTGGGGAGGGTGTGAGGCTCTGGGCGGCAGCGAGGAGGAGCCTGCACCCGCCAGGAGGAGGAGGCCCTCCCCAGAGAGGAACCACCACCACCCACTTCTGGGTGTCTGTCCAGCGCCAGATGCAGGGGAGAGCGATTTGGGCCTGAGGCTGCTCTCAGCCTGTCCCTTCCCCGCCGTCACAGGCGCCTCACGCAGGCTTGCTGGCACCTGCTTGAGGGCAGGCGGAAGCCCCTGCAGTCTGACCTGGGTCTGTACCAGCGCCGTGCACCCAGGAGCCTGCCGTGAGCCTGAGAGAGACCCTCCCTCCTCTGAGCCTCGTGCCCCACACAGCACCGAACACCCCACTCTAAGACGCACAGGGCCTGCCTATACCTGGGGCCAATGCAGGGCAGCAGCATCCCCGTGCCTAGCCCCCGGGTGGGCAGCTTGGCCTCTTGGAGACTGTGTGGGCACCTGAAGCCTCAGGTACTATTTCTGGGAGGTCTCAGGGGAGCCAGCATCTCGGGTCCCCTCACTGGAGAGAGAGGAGGAGCTGGGAAAGGGTCTGTTCACCCCGGGGCCGAGACAGCATGGACAGCAGCCCAGGAGCCAGGCAGGGCACAGCTCAGGCCCCAGCTGGCCCAGACCCTTCCTGGGCCGTGGCATGTTCTCAGTGAGCGGCCCCACTGTCCATCCCACAGGGGCTCCCAGGGCCCATGGACCTGGGAAGCCAGCTGTCCTCAGCCCCATGTCTCCCGTGTAGCTGGCACAGGATTGGACCCCTGGGCAGGAAGGGTTTTCCTACCCGCAGCGAAGATGGCCAGAGAGAGGTAGGCGATGGCCTCCCTGGTGTGGGCCTCCCTGTCCACCCCGCTCGGCTTCGCTCGCAGGATGCTCAGGGCCCGTGTGTGGCAGTGGCTTTGCAGCAGCAGCCGGTCCTCGTGACGAAAGACGTCCAGGGTGGGCTGCAGGCAGGCTGTGTCCCCAGAGTGGACCACCTTCTTCACCAGCTGCTGGGGCCCGAGAGAGTCGCTGCCACCACCGCCTGCCTCTGCTCCTGCTCACTGCCCCATGGCCAGCACGCCCTGCCCACCAGGCCCCGTCTCCTCCAGCCCAGGGGCCTCTCTGCCTGTCTCCCCATCTGGAAGGGGCGGGGCTCCCCGACGCAGGGTCTGGTCCCCAGTGGACCACAGGAACGAGGGGGCTCCAGCTGCACTCGCAGCCCCCTGTCGGCCGTGTGGCCAGGGCAGGGTGGAGCCCTCACGTGCCTGAGCCTGGACCTCCTCTGACCATGGGGGGAGAGCCCACCTCTATGAGCCTCCTGGAGGAGGCCTGACCAGGAAGGGGTTTCGAGCCATCAGAGGCTCAGGGAGCCACTCCAAAGGTGTGGAGAAGAATCCAGGGCGGGCCAGGCAGGGTCAGCTGTGCTCTGGGCAGTGCAAAACCCCAGGCAGACACAACCTCTCCCTCCGGGGCTCTCCCCGAGGAGACCCAATACTGCCCCCTTCTGGCCTCTGGTGCAGACACTGGCCCCAGGGCAGGGTGGAAGGATAGCAAGTTCCAGGGTGTCCCTCCCTCCTACTCTCTGCCCAGGGCAAGGGGGTCAGGATTCTAAACCAGCACAGGAGCAGAAAGTGGCTGGCTGGTGCCTCCTCCTGGACTCCAGAGTTTGAAGCCCTCCTCAACATCACCAGCTGCCTCTGGCCCAAGCAGGAGCCTCCACAACAGGGAGGCAGGAGAGGCTCTGCCACCCCAGGAGCAGAGGGGTCTTGGAGGCAGGAAGGCAGGCAGGGGCTGAAGGCCTGGGTCCCTTCCCTGCCCCTCCACCTCAACAGGACCATGTCCAAGCTTAGCCTGTGTGGGACCCTCGGGGAGAAGCTCAGCTGTGATAAGTTCTAGGTCCTTTCTTCATAACCACAGCCAAAGCCAACCTGCCAGGCCTTAGGGTACCTGTTCCAGCTAATTACCAAGACAACCTGCAGGACCAGGGCATAGATGAACAGACTGATGTCAGAGAGGTAAGAGGGGCTGCAGGAAGCAGAGCTGGGGCTGAACAAGGTTTTCAGGCTGTAGGTGCTGAGCGGGGCCCACAGGAGGCCTGCTGCCCTCCGCAGAGCTGTGCCCATTTCCACCTGCCCTGCAGTAGTGCACCTGAGCCTTCTCACCTGGTTGGCATCGTAAGAGAAGCCCCTACGCAGCTGTAGCAGGGCCAGCCGTGCCAGCACGGGGGTTGCCTGGGGTCTCCGGGAGAGGGCCACCAGCAGAGATTTGTGGGCATCGTCCAGGCGGCCCAGGCGGTAAAGGGCATCGGCTGCCAGGAGTTGTGAGTTCTCGTCCTCCACGTCCAGCTCCATCAGCATCGTGGCCAGCTGGTACACGCCACGGGCATCCCTGTGCAAAGAGTGGCTCAGGGTGGGCCAGCCCCTTCCCTATGCCCTGCCCAGCTGCTCAGCAGGTTGGGCCAGCTCGCAGCCCACTGTCTGCTGTGTGGCCAGGGCAGGGCGGAGCTGAGGAATGACCCTCACACCACACTGTACCTAAGTCCATGCTGCTGTTTCCAGCATGGCCCCTCAGCCCTCACCCTCCCGCCGGGTCTTCCCATCACCCCACGGGTAGGCACTGTGGCACAGGAAGGGTGAGTTCACGTAACGGTCAGTAGTAGCACTGACCCTGAGTAGACCTCAGGATTTCCTTTTCTGCAAAAATGTGGGTTAACAATTTGGCCCTGCTGGGCTCAAGGGTGAGCTGTTGGCAGGCAGGATGCACTTGGGATGTTCCTGGTGTCCACATGGGAACGTCCTGAACTTCCACTCCAGAAGAGGCCGGAGCCTGGGACTTGAGTGGACCCTCGGGGAGAAGCTCAGCTGTGGTAAGTTCCAGGTCCTTTCTTCATCGGCACAGCCAAAGTCAACTGCTGGTAACCCTTCCTCCCCACCAGCAAGGGCAAGCACACGTCAAATGAGGCCTGGAGTAGAGGCCGGCATCGGGTGGCTGCAGTGATGGGCCGAGGCCCCTGTCTGGAGGCCCCTGTCTGGAGGCTGTTCACTTCGCTGCCTTCTCCCACCTCCCAGCGACCCACCAGAGTGCACACTGGAGCAGCTAGAGGCTGGTGTCTGCTCTGTTAGCAAGGATTATGCAGGAAGCCCCAGGGCAGGGGTGGGGGCTGTGCCGGGTGGGCAGGGCAGGGAGCTCAGAGGTCCAGGACCCTGCCCTGGGGCTGCTCTCCACCAGGAGCTCCACTCTCCACTGAAGGAGGAGACGTGGTGGACACAGGATGTTCCCACCATGCCTTACGACCGAGAGCAAAGGACCTGGGGCTGAAGGAAGGAGTACTGGCCAGCAGCCTCAGGACCCCACACTGCTGCCTGGAGGCGTTTTTACCAACAAAGGACTTTCATGATCTATTGGAGCAAGAAAGTAGACTACAAACTACATACATCGCACAGATGTGTTGTATATGCACAAAAAGAAACCTCTAGACAGAAATGCCGGCAGCGGGCTGACACGTTGAGTTTTACTGTTTCCTTTCCATGTCTGAGTCTCTGATTTCCTAGGGACAGGAAGCCCACAGTGCAGGATGCTCACAGACTGAGACCCTAAGCTCAGATCTGGGGCTGAATCGTCCCGGATGCTCAGGGAAACCACCCAGACAGCTGCCTGGCTTTACTCACCTGTAAACAGGAACAAACCCCTCTACCTCCCAGGAGACCCGAATGGAGCAGCAGCCCCCTCTTGGGCGGGGCCAGCTCTCACCCTTCCTGTGCCACAGGGCCGTCCATCTCAGCAGCTCTGCTCCTGCAGGAGGGCACGTCCGCAGGGCCGGGGCCACACCCGCGCAGCAGCATCCTGCGGCCTTCCTCCCGCAGCACGGTCAGCAGCAGTCCGCGCTGGTTCCAGGGCACGTAGGCCTTGGCGGCCATCAGCGCCTCCTCGGGCTGCAGCCGGCACGCAGTGACATAATCCAGCGCGCCCAGGAAGGCGCTGCCGGCCAGCACCCGCAGCAGCCCACGGCCGCACAGCGCCCGAACACAGCCGCCGGGATGCGGCGCCCCCTGCTCCACCACCGCCTGGAAGTCCTCCTTGGCGCCGTGGGTGTCGCCCACGTGCAGCGCGCAGAAGCCACGCAGCGCCCTCAGGGGCGCACTGTCCCCAGCAAGCTCTCCGGGGTGCCTGGGCCTCAGGAGGCGCTCGCACAGCGCCCGAGCTCCTGCCACGTCCCCAGCCAGCAGCAGGCACTCCGCCAGGCGGGTGCCCAGCACAGTTCGCTGCCCTGCGGGCTCCAAGCGAAGCAGGAGGCGGAGCGCGTGGGTGACCGGGACCAGCAGCTCACGTCCCGCGTCCTCGCGGAGCTGGGGGCGACTGCGGACAGCCTCCTGGAAGTGGGCGAAGCCCGCGTCCGCGGTCTCCTGAGCCTGGACTCGGATGCGTTCTTGGTCTGCGGCTGAGAGCACCGCCTGGAGTTGCCTCCGCGCCGCGGACGGGCTCTCGCGGAAGGCCTGGTGCAGGTCCTGCAGCACGTCGTGGGTTCGGCCACCCAGGAAGAAGGCCGCCGCTGCGCGCGTGACCAGCAGGGCTGCCCCGCGCTCATCTGGAGAGAAACAGAAGCGCCCCTGTTTGGAGGAGCTCCCGCCGCCGCAGCCCCTTACCGCGCAGCGTTGGACCCTCGCTCCAAGCACTTTTCTGCTTCGGGCGTCTCCCTGCAGGCTCCCAGGAGCCCAGGGCGTGGCACTGCCAGACCAGCCCGGCAGGAGGCGCCCAAGTGCCACAGCAACCAGCAGGCTCGGAACCAAGCCACAGCCAGGAAGGTCATACCCAGAATGAGCCCTGGGGTGCTCGGCCACAACTCCATTCCCAGTCCCTTTAGTTTTTGAGACAGAATCTGGCCAAGTTGCTGAGGCCGGCCTTGAACTTAGGATCCTCCTGCCTCAGCCACCCCAGTCCCTGGGACTCGACGTGTGGCCACGGTGCCTGGCCTCCCCTGAGATCTGAGTGAAGGAGTTAGGACTGAATGTCCTCTTTAGGGACTGGCGACCTCCTCACCTGCCAGGTGAGCACTGGCGTTCAGGCTCTGACCACGGTGGCCACTGTTGCACACACGTCTTGGTGTCCTGCCTTCTCGGGCCTCTTGGGACTGGATACTCCCTGTATGAAGCCCATCTCCCCCAGGTGCAGGAGAGAGGCAATGGCACCCAGAGGCCCCGAGCAGGCAGACTGGGGCCACTGACTGACTCTGGCCAGGTCTCAGGTTCCTTCCCTGCACTATTAGGTGGGGCTCATCTCTGGGTCACTTTCCATCACTGTGACCAAAATACTTGAGAAAAATAACTTCAGGGAGGACAGACTCATTCCAGCTCCAGTTTTGGAGGTTTCAGTCCCATGATCTGTCGACCCCATTGCTGTGGCCTGAGGCAGGGGGGCACATCATGGTGGGGCAGGTGAAGCCACAGGGCACGCCCCCAGTGACCAACACCCTCCAGCCACATCCCTCCTGCCTTCCACTGCTACCTCCTCCCAGTAGTCCGTTCAGCTCTCAAGGGATGACGCCCCGTTGAGGTCGGAGCCCACCATCCAACCCCAAAGCCCAGCTCTGGACCTCACTGCACTGGGGACCAAGCCTTTGACACACTGAGCTTTTGGGGACATTCAGATCCAGCCCATAACAGATGATATGGCCCATAATCCATCCCTGTGTCCAGATGGGGATCGCTACCGTCCGTACTCACAGGGCTGAGGTTTAACTCAGGGTTAGCATAACCAAGAAAAAAGCGTCTTGCACCCCAAGACTGGCTAACCAACAGCGGGGTCACCCTGTCCAGTTCTGGTGCCAAAGCAAAGGAAATGGGGCCTTTCCTGTTGGTCACTGATGCTTGAACTAAAGCAACTCTAGCCCTGATTTCTGCAATAGTTCATGGACCCTAGGACGTTGCGGCTGGAGGGAGCCCTGGGGGCTGAGGAGAGTAGTTGTTGCTTACCCACATGGTAGCGTGCCTCTCCCCTCCAAGGCTCCAGTTATACACAGCAGCCTTCTGTATACCACCTTGTAGGTCACTGAGGCTCTGCTCATTTTCCTTCTGTTTTAGAGTCTGTCTTGGATTGTGCTGACCCTTCTATTCCATTACGCTATGATTTTTCTTTTCAGTTATGGCATTTTTCAATTCTAGAATTTCTATTTCTCTCTTCTCCTCTTTTTCTCTTTTCACCTCCTCTCCTCTCCTGTTGTTTGAGCCAGGATCTCATTATGTTGCCCAGGCTGGCCTCAAACTCCCAGACTCAGGCTATTCTCCTACTTCAGCCTCCTTAGTGGCTGGGACTAGACACATACTACCACTGACCTACATCCCCAGCCCCATCTGGTATTTTTAAAATTGTACGCTAGTTGTCTCATTAAGGTGTTATAGAGATGCTGGATTTAGTTATGTTCTTCTGAAGGGGTTGCATTTTGTTTTTAGCAACAGGTTGGGTTCAGACTTCAAATTGTACCTCCTCCTCTCTGACCTGACATCTCCACTTCCATCTGCTGCTTTTTCAGACGACCTCATCTTCCCCATGAATGGCACGTCAATGGTCAGCCGAGGACTTAAGTGGATTGAATGGACACATTTTGGATCTTGCCTGCTTCTGTGGCTCCGTCTCGGGAGTTTCCTGCAGTCCCATTTTCCCAGCTCTGAACTCTGTCCCTTGTCATCTCAGACCAATCAAACGGCAGCTTGCTGTTGTGCCGGGATGCATGGGCCGAAGAGCCCCGAAGCAGAAAGCCTCAGTGTGTGCGTCTCCCGGCTCACCCTCGTCCTCCAGGGTCAGCTGGCTCCTGGCTGCACCTTCGAACGGTTGCCTTTGATGTTCTGTCATGGTCATCTGTGAGGCACGTGTGCACTGAAGCTATTCCATGTTATTGGAAGCAGATTCTGCTGTACTGAACAGTTTTTATGATCTGTCTGTTGTTGTTTTAATTTTCATTTTCCTGATTACTCGTGAGACTCACTAATTAATCCCCCCGATCTGGAGGCAGGAGGCCTGCTTCTCGCTGTTCCCGTTTGCTTCGCTCTCATTACTGTGAGGTGCCTGCTCTGCATGGATTATCAGCCATCTGTGTTCTCTCTTCGGGGAAGGCCTGTGCAGCTCTTGTTGGGTCTTTCTGATGGATAGGTAGGCGTCCTCCACATCCTCTGCGTGCCGAACCTTTGCCCATCGTCTGCTTGGAAAGCCACAAGCCTCTCTGTGGCTTGTCCTTCCATTTTCAAAACAAAAGTTTCCAGTTTTTAATTTAATGAAATATGTCCGATTTTTCTTTACCATTTCCGCTTTTTGTGTCCAAAGAAACCCAGCTGTTCACAGAGCTCTTGTTTATATCCTCTGACATTTTCTTTTAGAAACTGAGATTTAGCTATTGATATGATCCACCTAGAGTTCACTTTTTTGCACAGGACAAGGCTAGTCACCCTGATTGGGTCAGAACACTTGTGCACTTGTGTCAAAACACCCAAAACCTCATAAACTTGGACAATTACGCTGTCCAAAGGAAAGGCTTTGACTCAGAAGTTTTATCAGTTTTAAGCACTATTACCTAGCGACCCCCAAACTTGGCAGCTCAAAACAATAAGCAGATTTCCCCCTGGTTGTAATGGGGTGGAACCTGAGCATTTTACCACCGAGCTACATCCCCCATCCTTTAAAATTTTCTTTTATTTCAAGACAGGGCCTTGCTAGGTTGCCCAGGTTGGCCTTGAACTTGTGATCCTCCTGCCTCAGGCTCCTGAGTTTCTGGAATTATAGGCCTAGCTACTGCACTTGGCTGAAAACAACAGCTGTTTTTATTGGCACATGGTTCTTTTTAAATTTGAGCTGAGCTGCTGATGTGGGCAGTTCTTCTGTTGGTCTTACCTGGGGTCACTCACATGACTATATCCATCTGTTGTCAGGACTGAGTGGGAGGGTCTAAGTGGGCCTTTCTCACATGCCTATGGGCTGATCCTCTGTCCCCTCTTAGGCCCAAGTGTCCCCACCCTGTGGCACTCTGGAAGGTGGCAGAACCTTTAAGAAATGGGGCCCAATTGGAAGCAGCTGAGAGAGCTCCCTCTCTGCCCCTGAGGCGTGTCTGTGTTGGAGAGGCCGACCCCCTTGCCCTGGGTGACTTGGGCCGACTGGCCCGCGGTTCCTGGGAGCCCCCTGGCAGACATGGCCCTGCTCTTGGAAGCCTGCCCTGGGCGGGGCTGGGTGTTTCCTGCACACACATTCCAGAGGCTGTAGCTACCACCCTGTGCCTGTCCATGTACGACGGCCCAGGTGGGAGCCCCCTCCATCCTGGGGTGGCTGATGCCCCCATTCATTCATCAGCCACTGCGAGCTGTGCTCTGGGTGCCGAGGGCCCTACTCTCCCAGAGGCCCAGGACTCTTTACTGAGTATTTTCTGATAACTTACAGTGGAGGATTTCAGAAAAGTTATTTCCAGAAATAACTTTTCTTTCACTTTTCTGTTCTTTCCACCTGGTTCTTCCTCACGCTCCTTGTGGAGGTCACCAGTAGCCTTGGCACTGTGCACTCTCGGTCTTGAGAATGTCCTTGTTTGCAAGGCCAATCAGTCACAAACAAACCTCAAATGATGAGCCACAAGGAACCATTTCTCTTTGTAGGTGCATTATCTCAGCTGTTTAGTGATAGTAACAGAAAGCTGGCTAATACACTGAGAATGTCTAGCACTTATGACACCCCTTTTCCTACCTGCTCCTCCCCTCCTCTCCCTGGTCCAGTTTTCAACCGACTCTTAAATGATCCTTGGCTCTCCTGCTCCACTCCTCTCTCTCCACCATTAAATCTGTCCATAGTCTTGTTTCTAAGTCAGTGATTCTCAGACCCACCACTTTGCTGCAACCTTTCTCCCTGACCTGAGATCCATCATCTCTTGCCCGAGAGCCTGGGGATGATTGTCACTGCCTCCCAGTCTCCGACCTCCCAGCCTCTCTGCCTGGACCAGCCTCCCAGTCTCCGACCTCCCAGCCTCCCTGCCTGGACCAGCCTCCCAGTCTCCGACCTCCCAGCCTC